AATAAAAAGGGAAGCATCAAACATACAAGGATCGCTCCCATGTCTATCAAATCATTGTTAACTGGAAACCTATTCCCTCATCTCTTTTCTTTTTAGCTTTCCTGGAAACCCTTAGGAATCCACAGTTTCTCTGAGATATCTACTGGACTAACTGGGGAATTGGCTCTGTCAGAAACCCAGGGGGGTTTAGAACACTTGTTCCTCTGCATCTTTATCCCTTACCCAGGTTCCATCTACAATGGTGCTGTGGGGGAAGTTTGGGATTACTGGAAATGGATCAGGTTCTAGTTGGGAAGCCCTCTGCTTATCCACTGTTTCAAAATTCTTGGAATTACTCTCAAACATGCCCTAGAACACTGCTGTGAGAACACCAATCAGAGGAACATATGGAAAAGAGAAAACCACATCCAGCAGCAGCGGGGATGCCCCAGCATTCCCGGGGATGCCGCTCCCGCCGGTCCCGGGCTGCAGTGGCGGGCGCTCCCCGCGGGGCGGCAGCTCCGGCGCTCCCGGCCCCGCCGGTCCCGGTGTCCCGGGGCGGCCGCGGCTCTAACCCGCCCCGAGCCGGCGGGCAGAACTCCCGATCCCTCCGATTCCACCCCAAGGCACAGGGTCGCGGCATTCCCGAGCCGGAAGGGACCCACGGCGAGCATCCAGTCCCAATCCGGGCCCCGCACAGGACCCCCGGAATTCCCCGCTGTGCCCGGGAGCTTGTCCAGACCCCGGCTCTTCCCCGGGATCCTGGAAACACAGCGGCGCTGGGAGAAGGATGGCGGCGGGTTTTTTTTTTGTATGTATCCCGTTTTAGGATGGTTCTGTAGATCCGTTCGGTCTCGTTATCGGCAGCTCCACAATCAACACGTCCCTTGTATTCGCCGCTCATCCTCACACGGCGCTGTCGCGGCTGAGCCAGCCCGAGCTGGTCCCTCCGGAGAGCACCGACCGCCTCATCCCTACCCAAACTGTGCATTCTCTCCCCGGCACATTAATTCAGGTTTCACCCCAAAATGTTCATTTTGGCCCCTACAGAATCCGCCCCGGAGCGACGCCTAGAATCATTCCCATGTCCATCAAATCATTGTTAAGTGGAAGCCTATTCCCTCATCTCTTTCTTCTTCTTTCCTGGAAATCCTTATGATGCTACAGTTTCTCTGAGGCATCAGCTGGGATTACCGGATTTACTCTGTCAGAAATTCAGGGGGGTTTACAACACTTGTTCCTCTGCATCTTTATCCCTTACCCAGGTTCCATCTACAATGGTGCTGTGGGGGAAGTTTGGGATTACTAGAAATGGATCAGCTTCACCTTTTTTCCCCCTTTGCTTCTCAACTCTTTCAAAATTCTTGGAATTACCCTCCATGTGCCCAAGACTGTGAAAACACCAATCAGACCGCCCCGGGCCCCGCTGGGCCGAGGCAGCTCCGGTGTCCCCTGCCCGCAGCTCCCGCTGCTGCCGCCGTCCCGCTCCGTGTCCCGGGACGGGGCAGCGATCCCTGTGCCGGGACACCCATCCCCGTGCCGAGACAGTGATCACTACACCGGGACACCAATCCCCGTGCCGGGACACCGATCCCCGTGCCGGGATACCGATGCCGCGCGGCCCGCTCGGGGCCGTCCCCGTTCCCCGCTCGGCGCTGTTCCCGTTCCAGCTCGGGGCTGTTCCCGTTCCCCGCTCGGGGCTGTTCCCGGTCCCCGCTCACCTCCGAGCCCGGCCCCGCCGCTCCCGGCTCCGCCACGGCCGCTCCCGGCTCCGCGCCTGCGCTCCGGGGCTGCGGCGTTTCCTTCCGGGAGCAGCCCCGGCCTTGGCCCCGGATAGAGAAACATGTTTCTATTTTCAAACCCTCTACATCCATAATCAGAATTCCTTACAGTCTATATCCTGTCTATAACACAGCACACACAGGATTTTATTTCGGAATCAGTTTTTAAATGCATTAAAATTTCTCAGAATATACAAAAATGGGACTATTTGCAGTTTTCAGAATTTTACACACAAACCCCCCACGATTTTCAGGCGTTTTGGGGCTGTAACCTCCCTTTTTTTGGAGGGATCTCCCTCGGGCCGCCTCATCCCTCACTCACCGGGTTCTCCACCACAATGGGCTGTGCCAAGTGACACCGTCACCTTCCAGAGTCCCCCACCCCTTTTCCCCCCCCACCCACAGAAGGCACAGGAATGTCCCTGGGGATGGTGTCTCATCCTGGATTGTCCCACGGGACACTGCAAAGTGCTTGAGGAGGGCAAGCCCCGCTCAGCAACCACCAAACCTCCCGTGTGTTATCCACACCACTACCATTCTGAATCCAAATCCAGTAAACAAAAAGTTCCCTATCCCAGTTAAATCCACACAGCAGCCAGCACACCCTGTCCCTGCTCATTGCACAGCTGGGCACCTCCAGAGGGATTCTGTGAGGGACAGGGCCAAAACTCCTTCTACAGTCCTAAAAATGAACAGGCTCTGCCTTCCCATCACCTCTGAGCCAGGAGACCTTACGGCAGCAGGATAAGAAACCAGTTAGACGGGAATTTCTCTCCGTTATCTTGAGCTGCCCATGCCTGACACCGGCACTGTCCTTGAACTGCTTTCCCAGCAGGGTCCAGTATGACCTTCTCCACCAGTTTTCTTGGTACTGAAGTTAGATTATCAGCGCTGGAGTTTCCTGGAAATGTCCAAGTGGGATACAGCTGGAGAATTCCCAGCCAGCAAAGGAGCTCCTCAGGCTTCCAGGACCGTGGGTGGACGATTGAGGTGGCTCCTTCTGGGACATACAGGATGAATTCCATACAACATCACAGACTCATGGATACTGAAGTGGTCCAAGTGGTCCCCAGTGATCCCAAATGGAAAATCACCGCCCTTCCTCCCCCGCTGGACACACAGATAAGCCAGCAGTGCTTGGCAGAGCCAGGGTGGCTGTGGGAGGGCAGGTGACGGCACAAGGACACTGGGAGCAGCTAAAAGCAGAGGGGACGCCCAGAGAGCCGAATTCCCAGACTCTGGCACCCTGAGTGGGTCAGTTGCTCCACAAGGATGCTTGCTGTGGCTTTGGGCATCGGGGTCCTGCTGGCCCTGGTGGGCTGCACAGCCACCGAGGACTGTGGTGAGTGTCAGCCACCCATGGAGAACCAGGAGAGCCCACGGATGGGACACAGGGTCCTGCTGACCTCCCCTCTCTTCCCAGTGGCCCCGCAGGATAAGGTCTCCCAGCTGCTCCAGCACATGGAGGAATCTGTAAATCTCGAGGAGGCGGCAAATCCCAGTGTCCTGCTGGCCATGAACCTGGCTGGGGGGGACAGCGATGGTCCCATCCACAAGTGGCTGCTCCAAGAGATCAAGGAGGAGGCAGTGAGGAGAGCCCAGAAAGGTACGGAGGGAAAGGAGGGAAGGCACCAGCTCCTGGAGGACCAGTTTCTGCCAGTTCTTGGGGTGCCCAGCCCAGCACAGCCTGGCTCCCCCGTGTCCCCACAGACATGACCTCGGGACAGGTGGCTCTGCACGTCCTCGCCCTCCTCTCCTCCTGCCAGGATCCCCAGCAAGTCCATGCCCTGGAGCAGACCCTCAACCTGATCCGTGTCCTGCAGCAGAAAACAGATGAGGAGATGGCCAAACTGGGTTTGTTGGGACTTGGGGGCCTGGGGGTGTCACTGTCCCCACACCCTGTCATCTTGCTTTCCCTGTACGCTGTCCTCTTTGCTTTCAGAGGCCGAGGGGATTCCCAAAACTACCCTGTACAGCGTGGGCCTGGACACCCTGGCCCTGTGCCTGGCTGAGGCGGGCGGCGCTCAAGGGCCATCGGTGGCCCTGGCCAAGCAGCTGCTGAACCCCGAGAGCCACATCTCTGTGGGTAAGGAACTCCTCTGCTCCCACATTCCCACTCCTGGGGTCTATCCCCAGCCTTGGCAGTGACTCCAGGATCCCACAGACACCCAGGCCATGGTGGCACTGGCGCTGGCCTGTGTATACAACTACGTGGAGCTCCAGGACGTGCAGGATCTGCTCCGGGAGGCACTTTGGACAGTGAGCAACAGCTTCCTGGATGAGCAGGAGAAGAGGAATGGCATGATCGGGAATATCTACAGCATGGGACTGGCCCTGCAGGTAGGGGAGGCGCCAGGGGAGTGTGGCATTGTGGCTGCCTGGTCCCATTCCCAGATGTGTCATCCCACATCCCACGCGCTCCACAGGCGCTGGAGGCCACGAGGAAGTTCTACGCCCCACGGGAGTGGGACTGTGCCCAGGCCTTCTCCGTGGTGTACGCCCACGACTACCAGCAGCCCATGGCAATCGCCCAGCTGCTGCCAGCCCTGGTGGGCAGGTCCTACCTGGATGTGGCTGGCCTGGACTGTGCTGCCACCAAGAATACGTCCCCAGGCCGACAGCTGCCCCTGTCCCCAGTGCTGGGCACACACGGCATTCCCAGAGGTACGTTGATCCCACCTGGAGTTGCCCAGACCCCACAGGGATGATGTTCCCACCCTGTGCCTGTGGGGGTGTGCCAGGTGCCCACCCTGCTGCTCTCTCCCTGCACAGCCCTCATCCAGGTGCATTACTCCATCACCAACACGCTCCAGGGAAAACACTTCCACTTCTCCACCTCAGTGGAAGTCCCAAGTGACTCCACTCTGCTCCAGGTGATGGAGGTGGCAGCAGAGGAGGACCCCAAAACCTTTAGGTGAGAGCCAGGGTGGTTTTGGAGGTGGGATCTGCCATTTCCCCACCCAGGCCTGAGCCTCCTCAACTCTCCCGCAGCTTCCAGACGGAGCAGACATCCTGGGGTCCCTTTGTGACCTCCATCCACGGGCTGGCTGGCAGCACGGAGGACAGGACCTACTGGCAGTTCCTCAGTGCTGGCAATGCCCTCGATGAAGGTGGGACAGGGGCCAGGGATGGCGCAGGGGAGCCTGTGGTGGGGATCTGCAGATCCCAGCCTCACACATCTCTCTGCTGCAGGGGTTGGCACCTACAAACCACAAGATGGGGAGCACATCCAGGCTGTCTTCAGCACCTACTGACACCACCAAGACCCCCTGGACCCCTCCACGGAGCAATAAAGTGCCATTCCAGCATGTTCCTCCGTGTGCTTGTGTCTCTGGGAGAAAACACAGCTCACATCCTTTTTGTCTCCCTTCCTGCTTAATTCCATGAGCTCAGCTCCTCTCCTTCTCTTCCCCAGCACCACACACAAGCACAGCCTCACCCAAATTCCATGGAGTCAATGCCCTCTTGGGCATCAATAAAGCCTTTCCCCAGCAGGCACGGGCTTGTTCCTCCAGGCACATTGCTGTCTCCAGTTCAACCTATTCTGATCCTCACAGAAGCTCTCATGGCATGAATCAGATGCAATTATCTCCATTTGATTATTACAACCTCAATTAGCATCAGCCTCAGGCCACCAGTTGCATTTCCCCCCCGGAAATCCGTAGGTGGTGGCCTGGGGTTGTAGCTGTTTCTAATCCCAATTCTGTGACTCCATCTCTGGCCAGGAGTCACCAGCACCTCCCAGTTGGGTCCCAACTGCTCTCCAGCCAGCCCCATTCCCTACTCCCACTGGGCCTTGTCCAGACCTTCAGCTTGGACCTGCTCCCAGCTGGACTCTTCCCACCCAAACCATTCTATGATTCCGCAGACACTGTTTCCAGAAGCTGGGAGGGACAAGATCCAAACTCTTCCCAACAGCCTGAAAACCTTCCACCTTCCAAACAGCCTGAGGACTCACCACCTTCCACCATCTCCAGTACATATGGTCTTATCCCAGACATCAAACCAGTCTGACTCAGCCCATGGTGATGGTGCCACCCTCCAGGTCCTTCCATGACCACACAGATAAGCTGGCATCGTGTGGCAGTGCCACAGCTGGTGTAGGATATCAGGTGCTCCACTGGAGATGACATTTCTGCCCTGTGCTACATGGGATGTCCCGGGTACCCAGCCTGTCCCTCTCCCCCCTGCTAAATCCCATCTTGATGCAGTTCTCCATCACCACCACACTCCATGGAAAATATGCTGCTCCACCTCAGTGCTTTGGTTGTTTGTTTTCAGTAGGATTCAGGGTTCATTTTCTTCACAGTGTGTGGCACAGCCCTGGGCTTGGATTCAGGATGGGAATGCTGTGGATAACACAGACATCTTTTGGTGGTTCCTGAGAAGAGCTTTTCCTCCTCCAGCACCTTGCAGTGTCCCATGGGACAATCCATGTCCCCAGCTGTGTCAGCCAGGAGGTGAGGCCATCATCCTCCTCCTCATCACTGTGTCCTACTTGCCTGAGAAACTTTCCATCTGTTCTGCTCCAGAGGGCTACCAGTGCCCACATGGAGCCCCTTGCCCCTGGAAGCACTGGAGTGCCCTGGGGCCGTGAGCGCCAGGGCGAGGCGGGGCTGTGATGTCACACAGGTGTCCCCCCCGCAGCACTGTGACATCAGCACGGTGTCTCTGCAGCACACGTGCCACCACCCCTGGCTCCCAGTGGAGCCACGATGGGACACAGATGAAGCCATGAGTGTCCTGCTCCCCACGCTTGTCCTGCTGGTGGCCACCACGGCCGTCCTGCTGGCCGCCCGCGTTTGGAAGGCGCGGAAGCGCCTCGGGGGCCGGGCCGGGGGCTCGCGGTGCTGCCGAGCGGCCCCGCGGGCTCCCGGTTCCCCCCGGGCTGAGGAGAGCCCTGCCCAGGGCCCGGCCGCCCCGGAGAGCCCCCCGTACATGCCCTGCGGCTGCGGGCCCTGCTGCACCCCCTGCGTGACGGCGGCCCGCGAGCTGCAGGACCTGGTGACGCCGCTGTGGCCCGAGGTGTCCCTGCCGCGGGACTCGGAGCTGTGGCAGCTGTGGTGGCAGGACCTGGAGCAGCTGCTGGAGCGAGGCCCCCTGCCCTGCTGCGCCTCCTCCAGCTCCTCCAGCTCCTCTGAGAGCCCCCGGCCCTCCAGGAGCCCAACAAGACCCCTGATCTGTCGGAAAAGATCTGCCGCTGGAAAAGGCTCAGCCCTCCGCAGAGCCCGACGCCGGCTGAGATCCTCCCCCCTTCCAAGAATGTCCATCCCTCGGAAAGGCTCCTCCATTCCCATCCAGACCCTCTGTGACCTGTGTTGTGCTCCAACTGGAACCTGGCCTGTTCCTGCCAAGAAGCAAGTGGAAGTGTCCTGGAGCCGCCGGTGCCCAGTCCACGGCTCCCAGGATCCTGAGGCAGAGCCATCTGGGCAGACTCTCCGCACGCTGCTGGACAAGCGGCTCCAGCAGCAAAGACAGCTGTTCCCATGTCAGGGATGCTCCCTGGAGCTGGCTGAGAAGGACAAGGCTAAGGAAGAGCTCCCCACCTGGGAGCAAGGTCTCCATCCCTGCCAGATCCTCCATGAGATCTGCTGGACTCCAGAAGGAGGAGCCCACATGGACAGGGCTCCCTGCCGCCTTGGAGCCGTGCCTATCCACAGAACTCACCAGATACCCACAGCCGGGAAAAGCCTGGAAATACAACCAGGAGCCCAAGCCCCTCCAGCAAAGCACTCCCAGCAGCAAGTGTCGCTGAGCCGCTGGTGCCCAACGCACGGCTCGCAGTGTGCAGCAGTGCCACAGGAGAAAACCCTGCGGGCAGCGCTGGACAAGAGGCTCCAGCGGCAACGGCAGCACACGGGAGCTCTCAGGAGATGGCTCTCACGGATCCAGGATGCAGCTCGCGGCAGCAGCTGGCACACTCCATAGCGTTTTCGTGCTGGATAAATTCAGGGTTTCCCCAAAAGCTGTCTGGGAGTTCCCACTGTTCTGCTTTCCACTGGGACAGGGTTCCTTTCGTCCCAGGAGATGGCACATGCTGGGCTTGGATTCAGGATGGGAATGCTGTGAGTAACACATGGGTCACGGTCCAGCCAGCTGGAAAACTGGGATGAAGAAGTTGAAATTTCATTTCATTAGAACTAAGAGGTGGAAAAGGGGAAAAGGTGGAAAAGTATTCCATTCTTCCCATGGGGAGACTACCCACACCAGAGAGCCCCAAATCCCCTGTGCCCTCTCTGATTGGCTCTGCTGGCTCCCTAGCTTCCCACAGCACTTGCTCCAAGGATAAAGAGTGGAACTGGAATTCATTAATAACAATGTCAGTGTCAGAAGCAGTGGGAATCTTTGTTTGGAATAAGAAATGGAGGAGAAATGGAGTGAAATACCACGAAGCACCACCGGGTAGGGAGAGGGTGGTGGAAAAGCAGCTTTTAGAATTGGTAAATTTCCCAGACTTATTTCCAGATATTATTATTCTAAAATAACTTTTTATCCCTCCACCACAAAACCATTCCTGTACCTATGAAGATATCTGGAGATAAAAGAGGAACACTTAATTTAAAAACTTGTAGGGAAAAAAACAATTGTGGGTTGAAACATCTAAGAGAATCCACAGCAAGGAAACATAAATGCCAATTCTAGCAAGGTTAATGCATAATAAATATTAAAGATTAGTTTCCCCAGAAAACAAGCCAGCCTTCTTATTGTCCAAACTGGCAAAGAGCAGACTCACGGATTTTGATGTCTACGAAGCATCCAGAGAGCTCAAAACTGGAATTCTTTGTGTTCCAGACTGCGTTTGGTTTGTCGGCTGCTATGGAATTCCCTCTAAAACTGGGATTTTCATTTAAAACCACCGTTTAAGCCACTTCTCTGGAGAAAGAGAAACAATGTCTTTGTGTTCAAATTTTATTCTGAAAACAAAACCCATCCCATAGCTCTGACAAGCAAAACACTATAGAAAATACAGAATAAAATAAGAAATAAAAGATTTTAATTCCCATCCTGGGACCTGTAAGTGTGTACAACACGGGAAAATGCCTCTGGAATTCAGGGACTGAAGAGGCTGCAGTTCTAGGCTTATGGATATTTTTATTTTTAAGCATTTCTAAGCAAATTTCACACTGGGAGAGCTGCAGTCTGGGCTCAGCTTTCCTGGGATTATGCACTACAAGAGGGCCAGGACATTGCTGGAATTGAGATCACAACTGGGTTTTGAATAAGGAGTGACCATGAAAAGGGAAGGAAAAACCTTAATGAACTCTCTTTAAAGGGAGAATTTTACCTCATTACTTGAAGCCTCCTTCTCAATTCCAGCTTGCCTTCCACTCCTATCTTTCCAGTTTCTGCTTGCATCTACCTTTTCTGGGATGGATGGGATCAGGCTGAAATCTAATCTGTCCTGAGTCTGCTCTGGAGCTGTTCAGCTTTGGAATTCTGAAATCTGGGGGTGTTTGTGCCCAGAAGCTCTTCCACTCTGCTGGCCTCACCCATTCCTTCCCAGCACTAACACGCAGCACTGACACACAACTGCCATTAGTCTAAAATTCCTCATTAAGCCCCCCAAAAACCCAATCCCAGAGTTCTGTGGGCGCCCGATCCGGTTATTTTGCCTTTTTAGTCTTTGTGGCCGCGGTGCCGTTGGCCTTGGAGTTGGTCTTGGCTTTCTTCTTGGCCCCTCCCTTGGGCTCCGGCTCCTTGCGCTTGGCCGAGGTGATGGATCCGGTGACCTTGAAGAAGTCGTCGAGGCGGCCCTGGGTGCTTCCCTGGCGGCTCTTGCTCAGCCTCCTGACGCCGTTGCGGATGCGCTCCTCGTTGAACTGCTTCTCCCCACACATGAACTGCACCAGCTGCTCCTCGTCCGGCTCGCTCCACTTCAGCTCCACCGCGTCGGGATCGACCACGTCGGGCTCCAGGAAGAGCTTCTGGGCCTCCTTGTGCAGCCAGTTCTCGGGCAGGGGGTACTTCTTGGTGTCGAGCTGCTGCACGATCCTCTCGATGGATTTGTGCTCCCGGATGAGCTCCACGGCGCGCTTCGGCCCGATGCCGCGGATGCTGGCGCAGTAGTCGCAGCCCAGCAGGATGCACAGGTCCACAAACTGCTCCCAGGTCAGCTGCAGGTCCTGCAGGATCCGGTTCAGGTGGAACTCCTGGATGGGCAGCTTCTTGGTCTCGCTGGCCGTGAGGTGCCGCATCAGCACGGGGCTGCCGAAGGTGAGGCAATCCATGTCCTCCGTGGCGGCGGCGTACACCTTCCCGGCCTTCACCAGGGCGGCACAGCTGGCCTCTGCCTCCCCGGGCGCCTCCACGTAGGGAATTCCCATCAGCGTCAGCAGCTTCTTGCACTCCTGCGTGTGCTGCGGGGTCACCTTC